CATGAAAAGTAGTACACCAGGTTGATTTGCACTTGACAGTTAAGGTGGAAGTCAAAACCGGCAAGAAAACGGAAACGGTGGAACTGATCAGGCTGCGAAATCCCTGGGGGCAGAAGACAGAGTGGAACGGCGCGTGGGGTGACAGATCGAAAGAATGGAAATCGGTGAGCGAAGAACAAAAGCGAAGGCTTAAATTGAGAGTTTTGGATGACGGAGAATTCTGGTATAGTTTATACCACCTTTACGGCTTCGGCAAATGACCATGTGTTTAGGATGAGCTTCGTTGACTTCAAAGATGCTTTTGATCGCTTGGAAATTTGCCACGTATTTCCTTCGGAAAGCAGGCCAATGCTAGCTGAATCGCCAGCGAACAAGCAACTCACTGACCACGTTGACCAATGGCAAATGCAGAGCTTCAACGGCGCATGGGTGAGAGGAAAAACCGCTGGCGGCGAAAGTGTATCCGAAGGTAGCAGTTTGGACTTAAAGACTTAGTCATACTGTATTAAGAGTTCATTAATGCATAAAATAAGATCAGGGAGATGAAGACGGCGGTGATCAGCAAGGGTGTCATAAGTAAAAACGCAAACGGTAACTTGGTGTAATAATCGCTTACCGTGGGTACTAGTTGTTTACCGTTGATTAACATAGGTTGTTTGCATATTTGTCTTAATTAATACTAAGTTTTGACGTCTCGTCCAAACGTCATTTCACTGCGAACTACTTCTCCCTGCCATAGGTGCACATTGATTCATACCGAGGGTTGATCGATGCACATTGACTAATTATTTCATACGGTGGTTCCTTCTTACTTCACTGGTCTTGGCAAAAGATATACAACATTTGACGATTGCACAAGGTCTTCTCTTTCCAGACTGGATAAGGTAAAAAGAGGGCAAAATGCGTGAGAATTCTCTTAATATACGGCAACCGTTGCCATTCAATACTCAGGTCAGGCAAGAAGGAAATTGAGTCTAATTTTTTTGACAATAGTGACAGCTTGCTTGTCACATTTAGCACGGAACTGCTTACTCAGCTATTAGAACTCAGCACCTCGGTTGTCAAGCTCATATCGTCTGCTGGAATGTCAAACAACAAGCGGCATTAGTCACTTTGCCATATTAATAACCATAGAAAACTGGAGGGGGCAAGGGGCAATGAATCTCTGATTGCGTTCGATCACATGGCAAATTTTTAATCGAGAATGGTTAGAAAACGTCTGTAAATAAAAACGTTTCATTCAAATTTAATATAGTTTTCCGGTTTTCAGTCTGAACTTCCATCACGAATGTTGATTAGTTGTTCAAAATCTGAACAAGAATGCAATTTTTGTCGATTAGATCAGTATTTCTAAACATATAATTATATTTTGCCAATCACCATCTATTAGAATAAATAAAAGTGCCATGAACAAAATTGACTTTTTAGCCTCATTTGAAAGCAACCCTCAATTCCAGTTTGACATCATTGAACAGAACAAGGACAACACTGCGTCAAACTGCCTTATAGCCTTGATGCAGAAGTACCAGCGAAGGCCAACTGGAGATGATGATGAACGATACTTTTTCATTGGTATCAAGGTATTTAAGGTATGACAAAAATCATGTTCAGAACGGCGTTGTCATCATAAGGGAACAGCACTTTGATGAGGAATGCTTGGGATGCTGAAGTCGAATGTGTATTTGAGAATGACTTGAAAATATTTTAAAATGACGTAAAACAGATTCTAACCAAGAATGGATACGGTCATAATTCATTATGTTCTTCCTAATTAAACCTCATTAGCCTGAAATGCCTCGCAGTGCAATGTTTGTTATATATCCTTTGGCAAAAGATTTAACATATATATAAGGAACCCATCTATCATACCCGATCCATAAATGGAATAGGCAGCTGAGGCGCATAAGGAATTCGATCACTTTAAGTATCTCGTTATCTCTAGCAATGGTAATATTCAGTCAGTCTATCAAATATTTGGGCTGAGAAAAGAGTTACTCTTCCGAAGAAAGTCCGCTTGTAGTTTACCTCTGGCAGGTCAGTATTGTTACTCGGCGTGGAGACAGTTGTTCTAAGGAAAGAGCAAAAATGGCGGTTTAACTACGTACAGTAGCGTTCTCTTCTACACATAATCAGGGTTAAATGAAGTAAGAAATGACTTGTTCTCTTCCAGGCACAGACGACTTCAGAAGTGGAGGTTGCTGAAGGGTTGTTGGCCCTCTTAGACAAACTGACCTCATATAAACCGCTTACTGTAAGTCTGAGAGCTTGCCGTCAATCAGGAGGCACGCATACAACCTAGGGCAGCACTTAGCATTACATCCCATTTGCTTTTAGAGAGTAATATTTCCCGCTGCGACGCGATAATCGACGCCTGATCGCAAAGGTGCTGAAAAGCTGTGGATACATCAGACTTCATAAACCAGACATTTTCTGCTTATACTGTCAGGATGATCCTCTTTACAGATGCACAACAAACTATCCAGTCAGAGTTAAGCAGGAGGACTGCCCTAGCCTTGAGTCAAGTCCCATAATATTCCAATTAATTTTACAGAGTTCTCATTCTAGCTCTTGAAGCCTTGCCTCGCTTAGAAGTGATCTGCAGTTGTAGATCGACACCGTTGGTAAACAGCAGCAGCACCTATTCGCAGTACCCTTCGATGTTATACCTGACCAGGTGCTGCTTTTACAGGTAGCAAATGAGCTTTCAGGGAATGAGGGTCATAGTTTCACTTTTTATTCTACCTTCGAAGACTTGACCATAGCCAATCAAGCCGGCCAAGTGCGTTGGTGGACGTGACCTTTTCCACAGGCCGACTATATTTCCCGAAATTTCAAGCACGGTTGAGCCTGTCGTAGCATAGAGGATCATCTGTACATCTTTACGAAAACCCGTTGTCTCCCTCCTTACAATCGGAAGAAGGGGATAATAGAGTATTTTGGGAATATTTCTACTTTGTACCCACACTTAGGCACAATGTCATGGTTGATTGAGCACGCACCCGAACGAGGAGCAACTCCAGGAGGGCAATTAGAACACAGAGGTAGGTCTCATAGCCGATGCACTTTGAAATAAGTAGGAAATAGTTCCAAACTGCGTCCCGTGACCTGAACTCAGTTACTTTACCTCAATCCATGACCTCAGGTGGAAGGGTCAAGCCAGAGTTTGAAAGTGACTCCTGAGTTGCCGATCAGAAAAGGCTGCAAAATAAAGTGGAAGAGTCCACGTGACAAGTCAAACTTCTCCTACACTTGTGAATAATAAAACAACTGTCTCATGACCAATTAATAACTGATCTCGCTTCAAACACATAACATCTTCCCATTTCACATTGGTTCTCTTATACAAGTTAAGTGGCCTCTTAATAACTTGGTTGCTCATTAAAACTTTACCTCATTCGACCGACTTTCCGCAAAAAACTTCATATATCATATATAATGCTGATAAATGCATTGAGTTGTTCCCATCAAATTTCGGCTTGTTTCAAGAGGCTTTTGTGCCACGTGAGTTGCGAATACGAAATGTGTTCGAAACATTGAAAGTGGAATACTGTTGTTGATATTTTGGCCTATCAGCATATGTTGAATTCCTAATCATTTTATCGTGAATCTATCACTCTATCCTGAACTTCAGAATCAATAGCAATGCTTTAATCTGTTTCTGGCCTTAGGGGCATCATCTGCGAAATGTCGATTATATATTTTGTTGAAGCCATAATCTTCAGTTTGCCTGAGGACTTGCAAGTTCACCGTTTATCTAGTCATACCATATTGCATCCATGTACTGCGGTGGAGCGAAAATTACCTTAAATAGTGCCTATGCATGCACCTATGTATGTATGTATGTGTGTATGTATGTATGTATGTATGTATGTATGTATGTATGTATGTATGTAT